TTTGTAAAAATGTCCGCCAGCGCCCCCTGCCGTACTCTGAACGCCCCCTGGGGGGCGGTACCGCCCACGTTGAGAACCGCTAGGCTAAAACAAACCTTATTCATGAAAGAGCGCCCTCCTCCTGCATCGTGCTATGTAGAGGTCCAAGATAGAGGAAAGGCTGCTCCGCATGGTCCTCTGTGCAGCCTTGACCACCCTCCGCAGAGTCATCCCAGCAGTGCAGCTGCTGTGCCAAACAGTGATGCAGGTGCAGAGAACACTCTCCACCACACAACGGTAAAAGCTCCTCAGGACTGAGTTCCCAAGTCCAGCTCTTCGCAGCTTCCTGAGGAAGTAGAGATGCTGCAGGGCCTCCCTGACCAGTTGAGGTCACTGGATATATACACAGTATATTGGTACTCCAGGTTAGGTCACTGGATATATACACAGTCAGGTACCTGTAGCTGGAGACCATGTTCACAGCGGCTCCTCCGATGTACAGAGGCTGAAGAGGATCCTTGTCCCTTCTGAAATCTACCACCATCTCCTTGGTCTTCTTCACGTTGATGCAGAGGTTATTTTCTCTGCACCAGTGCACCTCGTGTTCGACCACCTTTCTATATTTGGACTCATCACTGTTTGTGATGCGTAACAGTACTACTGTGTCGGCACATCGGGCTGCTGATTGTAGCCAGTCCACATTATTAGCAGAACTAGATGGTCCCAAATTTCGCATGGAGGCTTGGGCCGGCCCTGCTTATATCACTAATCCTACCTACCTAGTGATGCTTCAGGCCTACATCTGTCATGTTGTGAGTTTTGAAGTAGACCCAAAAGCAAAAGGCAGTGTGGAAATTTAATGAAGGGGGCGGGGGGGAATAAAAAATTAAAAGTCCAGGGTACAAGAAAATCCAAAAGAAAAATAAATGAAACGAAAGCAAAACAGGAGACAAAAGGGGATTCAGGTAATGCAGGGAAAGGTGCCATGAGTAACAAGGGAAGTGACAAGACGTCGACGAGCATTCGACTTATGGCTGAGTCACAGAGGCTTAAATATTGGGAAGGTAATGTATGAGAACAATGGACCAGGGCAGATGAGCTAATTAATAATTTGACAAAGGGAGAGGAGAAGGCAAGGCAAGGTAAGGTAAGGTAAGGTAAGGTAATTTTATTTATATAGCACATTTTCAGTAACAAGGCAATTCAAAGTGCTTCACATGAATTAAAAGGAAATACAAACAAAATAACAAACCAAAGGAAAGAGCACAAAAAAGAGGAAAGGACACATTAGGGTAAATCGCAATATTCAGACAAAACATAGGGCAAAACAGAGACATGAGTGAAGGCGGTGACGTCAAAGGGCCATGAAACCAGGTGGCTGAGCCTTCTCGCAAAGTCCGACAGAGATGTTGTTTATCGAGGAATGATGTCCTTGGGAGCACTCAGCTCCACAGCTCCATGGATACAGGAGGGGGTGAGGTGGGAAGGAGCGTTATGTTTACATATCTTCAAGGAGATTGGAAATATGCAGCTGTTACAAGGCCACACAGGGACAGCCAATTCAGAAGCAGAATGTCTTACGTCGGGAAGATTATAAATTTCAATCTTCCCTAAAGTCTCTCCGGATACATCTCAGTTCCCAATTATCCATATTAGTTTGGTCGTTCCACTGAACTGAAACTAGCAACTTCTCCAAGATCGATTCCAACTCGTTAGTGAGTTCTAGAGTCCTTGTCTCTGTCCACACCAACAGTCCGAGTGTTCGCTAGTTCGGCCAAGTCCGTCACAAATTTGTCGATAATCCAGGAATCCACAAGCTCCAAACAGCAGAAATCCTATTATTATGAATAAATCCAGGGTGAATCCCGCCAGGTGTGTCCCCCGCAGAACAAGAGGGCTCTCCTGTGCCCAAACTTTTTGTTGAAAATTTGATCAATTGCATTGAGAGACCGGTTGTCCAGATCCATAATTTGTAGATTTGGATGATGTGCAAAGAAATGCTCCAAAAATATAGAAAAAGACAGGACAAAAACAGAGCAAGCAGGGCAGGCATGGGCAGGGAGGGAGCAGAGGAAAAAAGTGTCCGCCTTCATCAAGAGCAAGAGAGAAAAAGGAGAAAAAGAGAGAAGGTGGCATAGGAAAGCTGGGAAGATACACAGGGGAACGCAAGGGAGTGGGAAATAATTCTAACACTAAAGAAACACTAAAACTAAAGAAAACCTGATAAACTAGTCAAAGACATAAGGAGAAATCATAGAACTTAACAGATCTAATAATAACTAAGGAACACAGAAACTAGAATACATAAAAAAAAACTAGACAAAGAAATAAACTTAACTAAAATCACTAAGGAAGAGCAGAAGAAAACAAAGTAGAAATAAATAGAAAAATCTAAGGAACACCAAAAATGACAAAAATAACAAAATTCCAAAACCAAACTCAAACAACCACAGATCCCAACATTTGTAGAGAATCATCCATTTTCCATGCTGAGTTCTTGATGTATGAGGTTAAAGAAGAATCAGTGAGCTGAATTCACAAATTCCATTTATTAATACCAAAATACAGCTGGTCCATTATGACCTGCTACCTTTAAGAGCTAACAGACAAAATGGCACTCCAGAACAGTTTTCCATTCCCTTTGTTAGCCTCTCTCTAAGCTACATTCCAAAAAGGGCATTACCTAGTTTGTCATATCCTGTAATCTTAGCTTTGAGGGTGTATCCAAATTAGTTTTAGCATTGCAACTAGCTAACAGAGATAGAAGGAAAACACAGAATTATTTATTCTCAACACATCATATTAGCTAAACCATATGGAACCAAGCAGTTTCAGGACCACTTCTATTCTGGTGCTGATATTCCAACTGCTTCTTATTTATAACAAGAGGATAGTAACTATAGAGAGCATGCCATTCTTTAACCCATCTAACCCCCTCACCTCCCCCCACCCCCTGCATGCTCAGCACAGAACTATTTAAATAGATTTAGCACTTGTACACATGCATACCAAACTGTTTTCTAGCTTTGTATCTGAATCTGGAAATTATATTTTCCTTGCTAAAAGTACCCTGCAGCATGCTTCAAAATACTGGAAAGCAGGGGTGAAAGTAGTTTTAAATTCTTAGGGGTACTAGCTCTTGACTTGCTACAAAATAAAGCTGTATTTCCCTCAACCCACTGGCTGCATTGTTGACACCGTGAGTGCCAACAATGCCAACAGTGCATTGTTGGCTCAGAACAATGCAGAAAGGACACATCTTTCCTGATGTTCAGAATGACATGGAGTGCCATTCTGAACATCATGGCATGGAGTGCATCCCAGTTTTCCATGTCTGGCATATAACCATTCATTTTAGCTTTTAAATTGGTTATATTGATTCTGTGTCCAGACAGAGGGATAATCAGTTAGCCTAGCATCATGACCTGTTCTGAAGATCCTGGAGCTTCCACTTCGTCTTCCTAACATGGCGCCTCCTCACCCTGACTCTCATACTGATAGGAGCTCTATTTGGTTAAAAGCACATCTTCTGAAGTTGGGATATTTTTCCTCCAACAGGTTCCAGAGGAATCACCTTAAACCAGATGTTGGACTAGATTTTATTTCAATATCATTTATGAATGTTAGAGCCTCATTTTCAACAGTGGAGCTATAAAGGTTGGAAAAGGTTATCATTTTGGAGAAAGTCTCATCAACATCAATATTTCCACTAAATAAGAGGCAAAAAAATATTTGATAAAG